ATTAAAATAACCCCAAACATGTCCTAAAGCAATAACCTAACATTAAACCAAACTGTCGACCAATTCCCTAAACCGGTCGACATTTTATCTCTAAAGTCGTAGATGTCAACCTAAAGTCGTAGTCGTAGATGTCAACCTAAAATCATAGATATCGACTGGTTTTCAAAGATGTCGACTGATTCTCATATATGTCAACTGGTTCATGTAAACCGGTCAACGTAAAGTGTGCAGACGTCGACCGAATCATGCAAACTGGTCAACGTGTGCCCAAAACCGGTCAACATGAAACTGGGCTGTTCATCTTTTCCAGCTTCGGCGACTCCGGTCTCCTCCGTTAAGGGTCCTAATTCTACTGTTTTAAGTCCCGATCAACCCTAAACATTATTTTTATCCCTTATGCATAATTTAAACATGTTAAAATCAAGAATCATGCAATACAATTTCAAAATTAATCAACTAATATACATACAATTAAAACACTGTAATTAATCTTTCAGTATGCATACAAGGTTAATTTTAATGATTTAAAGTTCCTGGAATTTTCTTACGCATGCATAGAACACAGATCAAAGGGAATGAGATAGAAGAAGAACTTGCCTTTAAGATTTCAGATTAAAATCTCAACGTCGTCTTCCTAAATTTTCTGGCAACCTTTGGCTGTTTTCAACTCCTCTGTTCTTTCTTTTTGTCTCCACTGTTACGTGAATAGGGTTCTCAAACCCTTGGCAGACACAACCGTGTGTATATATAATATAAGTTAACCCTAATCCCAATCAAATACTAAGTCGGCTAACTTAAAGGAAAATAAAATAAAATAAAAATATAAGATATACATAATATATATATATATATATATATATATACATACACATAGACTATTACGTGAAAGTATAAATATATATATAAATTGATAAAAAGTATAATAAAATATAATCCCCTTATATATATGTATATACCCATATATATATGCATAAGTTCCCATGGGCAATATCCATACCTATTAAGTTTTCTATCAAAGTAGTCCATGTGACTCAATTGGATGGTCCATTCCTATTATCCAAAATTATTAAAATAAAATAAAACCAAATAAAAACAACCATTTAATTCTTAACAAATAAATTACAAGTAAGCAACCAACATTTAAACAATTTAATACACATCATTTAGTACACAATTTAAATAAACAATTTTTTTTTCCTAGTTGGGACTCACACACACTGCCTCGACTGAGGTTCGAACTCCCTTTGGAAAGTAAGAGTCTTATACCGCTAGGCCACAGGCCCATTTGTAATTTAAATAAACAAATTATTTTAAATAATCACATAAACAATTAATTCAAATAAGTAATTAAACAAAATAACCAAGAAATCAAATAAATAATTAAAAAATGCAAATAAAACAATTAATTAAATACTGAGACTATCCTTTTAAAATTAAGGGTATTACAATAATCACGTAGAAATATTATGACACTATAAACCATCTCTAGCAATTGTATCACACCTTAGCTACACGTCTCTTCACTCATACTCTCAACAATAACCCATTTGTATTTATTTTATAGACCCCAAACATAACTCAGTATCTAAACATTACACGATACAATTCGACTCTAAAAATAAACACGTAATCATAATAGAAATTGAGATATCATTATTCTAACAATAGTTTGATAATAATGGTTAATCGATTACAAGTGCAGAACGATTTTTTTCTAAATAATTTCAATACATTAAATCATTTTTGCAAAATGATGATCATTAATATATTACAATTAATTTTACTTTTAATTTCAATGACACCCAATTAGGTTTGGCCAAATATCACCTTCAAATATCTTTCAAAAATAACTATCACTCATATTACAAATTTTTACTCTGTTTTTCACTTACACTCCAACTGTTACTTGCACAGTTCTGACACAATGTAAAATGACTTAAATATCCTTTGACTTTATCAAAATAACTATTTAACTTAAATAATTAGATAAAAAGACTAAAATATCCCTAAATATTTTATAAATTTACAAATCAAATTATATATCTTTATTGTTTCTTATGTTATATATATATATTATGTGGCAAATTTCTAAAATCCCCCAATACTTTCAAAAAGTGATCATAAAACCCTAATTAGTTTTAAAAACCCCCAACAATATAATAACGTTATCATTTTACTCCAACTCTGTCAATTAGCCGTTAAGGGTATGTGAAATGACTAAATTACCCTTATTATATTCCCTTTTATTTAAAAAATCAAAAAAATCATATTTTTGAAATTACAATATTATCCTCAAATAAATTATTTGAGGATATTTATTAGATTAAATTAGGGTAGGTTATTTATTAGATTAAATTAGTTGGAACACCAAATCAATATGGAATTGTTTGCCGGCAGGGAAATTTTAGGTAAAAATGTGATTTCAAAAATGACAACCACAATTTTCTGGCATTTTCCATTTCAAAAAATGAGAAACCTAAAACTAGAAGTAAGAATCAATTTCATAAGCACAGCTTACTTTGCCTTTTCCTTCAATTAATTATCCCAGCAAATAAATTGAGTTCAATAGGAAAAAAATATTTTCTAACAAAATAGAGCATCTACATCTTCAAATATAAATTATGAATTACAAAATAATAATACTAAAACCTCTAATAATAGAGCAATTAAAAGGAAATATGAACAGAGCTACTACAATGATAAGATCGAAACAGAGACTACCCACCAAACCCATAGAGAGTCCTTCCCTGCCTCTTCAGCGCATAAACCATATCCATGGCTGTCACCGTCTTCCTCCTCGCGTGCTCGATATCTCTTTTTAGTTTCTATCCACAGATTCTTTGTGAATTCATACGACTTTTGTTCTTTTATTTCTTTGTTTCCAGGAAAATTTTGAGAACTCCACGATCAGCCTAGAAATTCTCAAGCCCCTGAACGTCCACAACATGTTTGCCGATAGCGATCAAGATGAGGTCAACGGCGGTGACGACTCAATCGATAGCCAAAATTTGATATACTTTCCACCGTAATACAATCGCGAAACATTAAAATTTTAGGGTTCGAAATTTTTGTCGAATCAGAATTGGAATAAACGGAAGTCGCTTTGGTAGATACCTTCAAATTCGTCTTTGTCCCAATAATCGAAGGAGGCCGATGAGGGTTTGGGAGGAATATCAGAAGGCTGAGATGAATCGGTCGTTGGTGGGTTTAGTGATGGAGTGCTGGGATCGGGTGGGCCATGGTGGGACTCGGGATCGGACTGAGTCAGAATTGGCGATGGAGTGATCGGAGAGGGAGATAAAGAGGGAGATCAGTGAGTTGAAGTGAGTTGTCCTTTCGCGTTTTGTCATTGTCGGCGTCGAAGCCTTCGAAGTGGGAGTCGATTTTTCTCTCTTCTCATTATTCCTTTATTCATCCCGCAGCTCTAGGCATGAAAACTTAATAATATAGTTATTAGGTATATACAAATAATTATATATATATTTTTATGGGTATCAATTAGGGCTTCCTGCAACGTGTATGGAGGAGAGAGAGAAGATGAGTAAAACGTAAAGTAATTTTTGTGAATTTTTACTATTACAAGTTTGGGGGTATTTTCGGTATAACACACTTAAATATACATAACTTGTTTGGCACATGTGACAACAGGGGTATTTTCGTCACAAAAGTCAATTTGTCAAAGCAATTGTTAACCACGCGCTGGGTTAACGGGGCCAATTGACAGAGTTGGGGTAAAATGATAACTTTATTATATTGTTGGGGGTTTTTAAAACTAGTTGAAGTTTTATGATCACTTTTTTAAAGTATTAAAGGTTTTCAGAAATTTGCCCTATATTATATATATGTTATGCTATATATATTATATTATATATATGTTATCTTTTCGTCGGATCCGTGTATTGGCGGATATGTGGGTGGCAATGATAAGTGGGTTTAATAATGAGGGAATAATGGTCATTTAAGTAATTTGGTATTTAGGAATAAATGGGATAAAAAAGTTAGGAGCAAAGTTATCTTTTTTATTTTTTTTTATTTTATGTTTTTAACAAAGACGGTGATGAAAAGTAAAAAAGAACCTAAATAATAGTTATTTTGGAAAGATGTTTGAGGGTGATATTTAATCAAACTTGATGGGGGTGTCAATAAAATTAATCCTTAATTTTAAATTTGTTCATTGAATTAAATAATTTTTAATGTTATATTTGAAACACTGAATTAATGGTTTGAATTTAAAATAAAAAATAAAATTATTTAAAATTTTGAACTAAATTTATTACAATCCTAAATTCAAAATATCAATATGAGGTGCTACTAGACGCAACATTACTTATATGAAATTGGATTAACAAAGGGGACCTCTGAACATGGAACAATGAATAATGAAGTGCCCTATCCTTCATTTCAACCATATTCTCCATAAGGACTGGGTTTGGGTTTGCAATTTAATTACTGCAGATATTTGATATTCATACTGTATTTTTAGGCACTTATATTTCACTTATTGTCATTTTTTTTTAAAAAAAGTAGATAATGTAATAATAGTAGAAAATTAGAGTATGTCATTGGGTTGATTATACATTTTCATGAAGCTCGATTCCACAGATCTTGTGCATCGGTAGATACTAAATGATGATGTAACAAAAATACATTATAAAATAGAATCCTTTGTATCATGTTATAATATCGTAATAAATTATAATATTATTAAAACTAGTTTAATACTAGCCTCTTTTTGTTTTTATGTAAAATATATTTTTAAATTATTTTTTGAATAAAATATATTTATTTATTAGTGTAAAATAATTAATAAAAAATTACTAATAAATAAAATTATTTTATTAAATTTGAATATTTTTTTTCTCCGTAAATTACATCTCAACAAACAGTGCAGTGGTGTAGGTTTTTGCATTTGATTAATCAATACGGAGTATTTTAAAACCGGCAACTTGCTCGAGCGGTGATCATTATCCACTTAAAACCATTAAAGTATAAATAGCACCTCAACTTTTAATTACACTACACACCTGCTTCTAACCCATCTCTCTCCGTATCTGATTGATTCGTCGTTCAAATCTCGAAATCTCCGGCACTGACAATGGCGAGAGGCTCATCTCAGTCCCAATCATCGTCCTCATCAACCTCCCGTCCCGGTCCCGTCGGCATGGCACCTCGCGGCTCCGCGGCGGCGACCGCCGGGATGAGACGCCGCCGACTCGGAGGCTCCTCCAGTGGTTCGGCCGACGTCGGCGGGGACTCCGGCGGTAACATGCTCAGATTCTACACTGACGACGCCCCTGGACTGAAGATCTCGCCCACAATGGTCCTCGTCATGAGCCTCTGCTTCATCGGCTTCGTCACCGCCCTTCACGTCTTCGGCAAGCTCTACCTCCACCGATCTGGTGCTGGATCTTAATTTCCGATTCCTCATCATCGAGATTTGGATGCTTTTTTCTGATCGGAGCAATTGGTAATTGAAATGCCACGATTTTTCGCTTTTGTAAATGTTTTAATGTTCTAATTTTTGATAAAAAGTTGACTTTAAGTTAGTTTTCTTATGAAGGAAAGATAGAAAAGGATTTTAGTTTGGTTGAACCTTTTGCTTCCATGATTAATGGCTCAATAATGATGCTTTTTTTTTAATTATTTAATCTGCATTTGAATGGTTTAATATTTCTTTATTTGCTTTTGATCCAACTCCTGATTAAGCAAGCTAAATTTAGTTTTGAATCTTTAATCTGGCCTTGATTGTCGTATAAAATAGTTCTATCTTCCAATGAACATTGAAACAGATCAAATCAGATGAAAACTCAAAATGTGAAAAGTCACCTAAGATTTTTTTTAGGTTGTTACGAATATTTTATTTATTTATTTTTAAAACCTTATTTTTACTTTAGATTATTGACATCTCTAATCTAGTCTGTCAACTGATTCGTATAAGATCGATCAAATTCATATCCCATTTGTTAAGCTACCGGATAATCGAATAGGCAATGGGTTATCGAATTGAATATTCCAATCCATATCCTATTTAGCTCAGATTTGGATTCGGATTAAAATCATATTCACTTACATTTAAACTTGAGTGAAGACCTTGTAACCAAATGAATATAGTGGTAAATAATTAATATGTTTATAAATTAAAATAGTATATAACTAATATATATATATGTGTGTGTATACATATATATATATATATATATATATATATAATTTTAATTGGATCGGATTATTTGTAATCCATATCCGATTTGTTAAGGTAACAGATTATCGGATTATTATTGGATTATTGGATTTTTTTCCCAATTCATATTCGGATAATCGGATTGGATTCAGATCAGAATCCGAATCCATTGACTGGTCGATTGACTGTATGATATTATTGTTGAGGAGGATGATTGGGACTGAGATGAGCAATGCTTTTTCTCATTGGTGAATTCCTGAACGCTTTTGCAATTATTTTGATTAATATTTCACAAGTGTAATATTGCTCTAAAATACAATGTCAACTCAGAATATTATTTGAATCCGCATTTTGCAATTATAGAATTTGGTTCTAGAATTCTCCAAGGAATATCTAAGACATTCCTATAACATGCTTGTTACTCGAGAGAGCTTTAGGCTACACTGTACAATACTATACAGCTTTAGATAACTCCCCACTACTCATGTAAGCCCACACTTGTGTAGAGAAATCTACAATGTTCCGGCCATTGAAACTAGTCATGTCACCATCTTGTTGTCCACCTGCATGGCATAACGTTTTCCACGATGGACGGAGCGTGGAATATGTTTTTAGTACATGAAACTATCATATCACGTCACTTAGGTTTCTTGGTACTGTCGGACATTTGAATACTGGATTTTGTTTATTTCACCTAGATTTCGTTGTTTTATGGGATTGATTTTCCTTATGACGTATTGTTTCGTGCTTACATTAACCAAGTTAGCTGCCTTAATATGCAATTTTCTTGGTGGGAGCTTATTTTACCATGTTGTCTTGATTCATAAAATGTTAATTAGGATCTTAAACTACTGTTTTTGTCCATATTGAAGGACCGTAAATAATGATGATGCTGGGTCTACATATGCTTCCCATTTTAAAGATTATTCCTGATTGATGATCCTAATGATGTACAACTGGTTCCCAAGCCAAAATGTTCATTCCACCCTCATTTTTTGGATTATTTCCTTTTCAAATGGAATTTGAAAATTTGTAGATTAATGTGGCTCATGCCTTGGTCATAAGAGTTTAATTTGCAAGCCTACGAAGGTAGTTTATTTAATCCGCCACTTACGGTTGGTTGAGGTTCACGACCACCGCTCTTCTTCCACGTATTTGGTCTCCTTAGAAATCAGTTGATGAAGTTCAAATTTGAGAGGGATTTACTCTCAGATTTGTAGAATCATATTTGATTATAGATCTGGTGGACACAATGGGTATTGATGTTGTTTGTTTCTAGTTCATTTGAGTAATGGTGATTTATATTTCACGTTACTGTTTGCAGCTGTGTTGGGAATTTGTTACACATGGATTCATACGTCTAATATTATTCTCAACTATGTTTTATCAACTTCTTGAAGTTGGCTACTGGGATTTTATTTTCATATTGGTGGGGGGGGGGGGGGAGGGTGGTGTTCACAGCATGCCCTCTTCTTTCCCCAATCCTGTTATTGAGATCTTAGTAAAGACTTGATATTGGCTTTGAGGGTAGGTTTATGTTTTGAATTTTTGATGGTTTTGGTGAGTCATGGTTGTCGCAGTTGAAGAAAAGACACAGAAAACCTGGGGAATACCCTCATAGGAGCAATGAATAGAGCAATCGTTGGGAAAATGTTTTGTTCATTCTTTCCTTGCAAACCGCACGAACAGTTGATGCCTACATCCCATGAGCGAAATTGAAGGAAATGATTTGCATTTGAGGTATTTGATAGCCCTCTATCGAAACAAAGACCGGCCCCCTTGTGGTTTTATGTACTCTCTCTTTCTCTGTCTCTTTCCTTGTGGAACCCGGATCCTTATGCAACAATTACATCTCATGTTGTAATTTGTCATGAAACTGTTGCACTACGATATAATATACCATTCAGATTACATTGCTTATGCAACCATTCAGATTACAATTCGTCGTGAAACTGTTGCACTACGATGTAATGCTGGACGCGGCACAGGATGTCCCCAAGAGGGTTCCGGATTCCGCTTTGTGCAGGTTCCTTTGTTTAAAGTTTCTAACAAAGATGGACTTCTAGATTCAATATGGGTGAGAGCTGTTGAAATCCAGCTCCAGCCCAATCTTTAGTGGGCTTTATTGTAGGCCTATATGAAGCTCAATAAGGTCTAAAATTGATAAAATCCCAAATTAAACTTATGATATTTAGCCTTCGCAGCCCAACATTTCAAAAAAGCAAATTGAGTTCATTGTATGATCGTTACAAGTTGTTGCTATATTGAAGGCTTCCCATGTCCCAATCACAGTGACATAGTCTTGTTCTCTAAACAGGTTTTAAACGATTGCATGGCCACATTGACAACGTAGTTCAGTCCTCCTGATTGAGAAATTTTCACGTACTCGTTCTTCTATGGAATGAAAAATCTTTAGGTGTCTTAGGTCCAACATTGATCTCGTGTTGGCCTCGAGCTGGTATTGCAATTGTACCGACTTGTGAAGAGCTCTGGCTCGGCTCGTGTTGGATCTCCCTATCATGTTCTACATTACCAAGCTCTATATGGTGGTGGTGGGTGGGGGAAGTTGACCCCTCGGCCTCCCAATGCTGATCGGCATCAAAATTTGATCTTCTTGGGGACGTTTGAAAACTGTCATCCACATCTCTGTTGTAGTGGCGGAGGAGATGAAGAGGGGACAGGTGGTGGGTTGGTGTCCCCGGTGCACTTGACATAGGGGTCACAGTACCAGATTGCCGGTGGTTTTGTTTGACTTGTTTCTTCGCCGTTCGGTGCCAGTTTCGTAGAGCTGTCGCCACTCTTTCGTTGAAAATGGTCGGTTTCATTGTTGAACCCATCTGTTCATTCCATAATTGTATAAAAATTGTAAAATTTTCAGGAGCATAACCTAAATTTACACATACAAAAGGATGCATGTGAAATTCACACACCCAACTAATTTTTTACCCTTAACAACACGTAGTAGTATTTTTTTACTTTTTGAAAGTTAAAGAGTATTCGAGTCTCTTTAAGAATATTGTGAGAGTTATTTGTTGAAACTTAAAAAAATAATAATAATAACAATAATAATTTCTTATTCTCACTTAATCTTGATACATTAAAACATTTTAGTGACTTAAAAAGATACTTAATTGAGATATTTTCATTCGAATATCTAATTTTTACTTATTATTGATATGTATCTTTGCTTAAATTACCTGTGTAACAAGGGCATATAGGGGAAGAGTGACGTAGCTGCACAAAATCTGTATGAGAACCCTGATGAAATCATCACCATTGTAAAATGTTAAAAATCATAAAAATTCAATAGTCAATGATCAAAGGGTAATTATGTAAAATTGAGATGGTCAACGATCAAATGGTGACGCAATGAGAGACTCCCACTCACCCCATCGAAATTCGTATAATCACATCCTCCAAATGCGAATGGAAACAGGACTTCAACCCGAATTCATACTGAAAAATAAAATGAAATATGACTTCTTCATTAACTACATTTCATTAAGTCATTCACACAACCTATGTATTGCAGTCGTTCCAATAATGTACATGTGTGTAAATAATATATATATATATATAAACCGTATTTTACGCTGCTTCCCACCCACATTATTAAAGTGGTAAAGTAATTAATACTAGTTACTAGAAGCTTCTGGTGGCTTACCCAAGTCCACGCAAAGAAAGCTAGCTGAAAGGCATTCTGCATATGATTGACCAAAAAAAAAATTCACAAATGAGTATAACGCAATCTATATATATATATATATAAAATAAATCCTTATCTTCTTCTATGTACTGGATGGTGAAGAGAGGTTGAGACCACTTCACATAAAATGAGGTGGAGTCGTCAAGATGATACTGTGTGAAATCTCAAAGAAAACAGGAGTTCGTCGGAGGAGTACTATATTATAGGTACCTCTAGGCATTGGTTCTAAGGACGAACCCATCAAAAATGCCCCACTGAATTTTTTTTTTTTTTTTTTTTCTACAAAACTATTTATAAATTTTATGAAAATTTTGAAAATAACCATACTTTTTTGTAAAAATATTAAGAAAGCCCTATTCAAATTCTAATGATACCCTATTATATATTGTTTTTGTTCAAAATCATCCCCTCACATAATTTTCTTAGTCCGTGGTTGATTCCGCGTAATAATAGAAGGGTACCTGGAAGAGGACAAAGTTGATGAGGTAGAGAATGAGGCGTGGACGGTTGAACCAAAAAAGGTCGTCGCCAGGCTGAACAACTGGTACTCCTTTCACAACTTCACCTCTCTCTTGAATTCTGAGACCCATCTTTGTTATTATCACCTGCAGCTTCGTCCCCACCAGCAATATGATCTGCACAACATTTATCAAATGCATGAATTCTTTGATCATCATCAAATATCATTATCAGCCGTCTGATTATATATATATATATATCGACTTCTAGAAGTTTTGCTCACAATTAATGGGATAAATGGTAGCCAAAGATATGATTTCCAGCCTGTTGTCCACATAGATTAGAAGGAAATATACAAATATATTAGTCAAGCAAAATGGCGCTAAAACAATTCACATCCAATATAAAATAGTCACATTGGCAAAGAATATTAGTGTTGTGGAACACACATTTCAAAGCTACTAAATCATTTCTAGTTTCTAGTATGATATATCATTTGAATTAGCACATGTTAATATATATATATATATGAGACATTTTATTAGGTTTATATTGCAAGTGTAATGTGCTATTTAAGTTATTTATATTTTAATTAGATGCAATGTCAAAATATGCGGTTTCACCAAATTGTTATATTATATATCATTGCCTAATCGTGTCTCCTAACATCAACATTAATTATGCATGTAATTAGTTTTCGTATAAGTGGAAACAAGTGTTTTTTTTTTTGGGGGAGTAAATTAAGTTGAAAAAATGTCAATTAATTGTAAAACATCACCAATTGATCTATATGTATCAAAAAGATGTCATACATCTATCTACTTACGTACCATGGGTATTGAAGAGAAGGAATAGAACCGCGACAAACCAGATCGGTGGACTGAGAATATTAACAAACATGACGGTTAATTAGTTGGAAAATATAATAATTAAATTTGCAAATCATAAACAAAAATGAAAGGAAAAAAAAAAGGGAAAATAATTTCAGAAAACATATAATAAATCAAGCTAAATTGAGATTGAAGAGGAAAATAAAGGAGAAAGAGCAAACCTGATCCCCACAACCACCTTGAAATCTTCTTCCAAGGATCTATTGATATACTTCTGGAAATCGAATCTTGTTTGGCTTTGAGGTGCCAAATGTGCCTGAATTAAATAATAATAAATTAATATAAGTGAAAATTAATTCCTTAATCAGAAGAAACTGAGTCTTGACTTTTACTATTTCAGTGTGTGTATATGTATATATATATATATATATATATATAGGAGTATATTTTTTCAGAAGCTGAATATTATTTAATATAATAACAGCTTGATGCAGTAATTCTACGAAATGCCAAACGATGTGGTCACTAAATTCTGGCCCCACCTCTGTTTTGGCTATCTCAAAATGTCAATTTAAGAAACCAGAATGGCATGTGATGTGTCTTTGTCTGTATGTGTATATAGACATAAATATATATATATATGTATATATAAGTGTATGCATGTGTATATATATATTTACAATGGAGAATCTTACCATGATAAATCCATGTCGCAAGGTTAAGTAATCAACTTTTGGGACTGACCTGAAAAATTGCCTGAAGAAACAAACCTGAAATGTGAAAGAAAAAAACAAAACAAAGAAAAAAAAGTGTTAAAATTTTGAGTAGGTGATTGTTATACCTACCACAAGGCATATATATATATATATATATTTTAAATCTCGTAGATGTAAGTAAGCGTAAGAACCAAATTGATGTGTAAGGTGGACAAGAAATTCAAAGTCAATTTGATTATAAAAGTTGACTAAATTGCATTTTGAAAAAGTCAATTCAATAACGTATAGGCCAAATTGCCCTTGGGTGGCTGGTGGTGTCGTTATCTCTTTGTCATTACCAGACCGTTATCTCCTTATCTTTCCCTATTAGATATGTTAGATGACACTTGTTATGAGCTTATAGTCCAAGTGAAGTGGTCCCACTATTTTCGCCACCTGTACTAAAAACACACCACGTCACAAATGAACCTTTCATTGTCATTCTCCATGTAACTCTTTTTGGTTCCATATTATTATTTATATCAATATTCGTCCTTACATTAATACCGTAATTGCGAATCCTATATCGTCAAATTATGCGTAAAACTCATGCATCAAATTTATATCAATAATGTACTCGCGGAACATGCTACATTGAGTTTTAAAGAACGAACTTACATTATTTCGTTATTATTGCATTTTTATTACATGAGATGCCTCCTAGCCCCATTTTGGGACTGCAAAATAAAGCCATTTGTCCCGTGTTTTTGGTGAATATATATATATATATATATGGTCATTGCTATGAATATTGGCATTTTAAAATATGGATGCTCATGGTTATTATTAAAATTATTATTTAGATTCCGTTTGTTTTGATGTAAAATATTTTTTAAGTAAAATATTTTTTTATTTGTACTTTTTAATATTTGACAAAGATCTAGGTCAAGGTTGATATCGAGTCCTTCGAGCGAAACGTATAAAATAACTTACCAAAAATTAATAGATAAATTATTTTTGTAAAATTTTAATATATTTTTCTTTCGTAAATATTTTACGACAACCAAATACTAGAAAATAAAAAAATATTTTCTAAAAAATATTATACATCCAAACAAACGGAGCCTTAGAGATATAAAATTTCAAATTATTTTGAAAATTGTTGGTGAGAAGAGAATAATTTCATAAATCAGGAACTTAAGAAATGCTTACAATCCAGAGGAGCACAGGAGTTCTGCTCCAGAAGCTTAAGTGCCTTCTCCCAAATGATGTCTCTCTTGCAAATCTGAATCTCTCTGGATCTGTCAAACAACAAATACCACTTTCTCATCACATATCCATACCACCAATATATATATATATAATTTCTCATGTATCATATTGCATGCATGCATGTATATACATATCCTAGTAAGAATGTCTATACAAATGTATATGTTTATTTGAGTTAATATGGAGTACTAACCATTTGAGAACTGGTACTCGACCGTTCTTGTTTCCTTTTCCCATGCCTTCCAACTACTCATCTGAAACCAAACGATTCAATACATATATTGCAAATATATTCATGTGAGATATATATATATATATATATATATATATATAGAGAGAGAGAGAGAGAGAGAGAGAGAGAGAGAGAGGGACTGGATGCGATATATATGGTACCAACCTTGGCTCTGCCTAAAGCCAACGTCAAAATACAGTATAGGATGTGAAAAACTGCCAACACGAAGATGAAGATATGGAGCTGATGAATACCATCCGAGGACACAAAGGGCACTTTACCCTGCAAATAATCAATACCTATTTAGATTAATAAGTGCCCCATTCACATTAAACCTGTATATATATACACAAACACATACATACACGTATGCATGTGTGTGTGTATATGTTGGTGACAATTTGACATGGCTATTCTAGATTCCTTATATTATATTATCAATTGCTATCCCTTTTCAAAAGTTGCTGAACAATTCAAAGCAACAACCAAATAATAGCTAATTGATATGGTACGCACTTAAAACTTGTTCAAACATAATACATATATATATACACAGACCTTGGCTGCGCATTTGTCAGTTCCAGCGGCGGCCAAAACACGTCGGAAAATTTGGCCAGAATCCGACAATCCGAGAAGCTTCCGGCGATTTTCTTCTTTGGAATTTGTAGTATAATATTTGTTTAGTTTTTCTTCTGCCTTCTTACTACAAGGATGCCAAGTAGCTCCTGCACTTTTCGATATACATATATTCGAAATTGGTCCTTGTCCAACCGTTAGGAGCAAGGATATGAATCCCAACAGCATAAGCTCTTAATCATCACCACCCACCAAATTTGGAGAAAAAAAAAAAATCAAAAGTCAACTTTTGTCAAACTAATGTTTGTGTGTGTGTGTGTGTATATATTTGCATCAAACACGTATGATCTAATTGATCGGCTCAACTGATCATTTAATGGGTGATATAATTAAGTATATACCTGACTTGATTTTTTCGAGTGATTCAAAAAGAGCACTCTTGTTTTTCTTCTTCAACCACTGTATGATATGGTGCAATTTGTAAGAATGTGATATAATCTAAGACTACAGGTACATATCCAATAATTAGATCACTCCTATTAATTATAATCAAACTATATTTTTGTGATTAGATATTCTTGAAATGGTAATTCATACCTGTCCTATGAGATGGATGATGTGTTCGATGACAATTGAAACCGCAACTAAAACAAAACAAACAACAGCAACAGCCCATGTCGGCGTCTGCTCCAAAGTTCTTCCCCCACTAGCTACAGCCATCCTTGAATTTTTAAAATTTGCAGGAAACTTTTTATTTGTGAGTTAATCAAGAATCAAAGCCAGTGAAGTAGTAAGAAATAAAGTTCAAGAATTGACTTGAGAAACTCAGAAATGTATTTAAACTCATGTGTGTGTAGAGAGAGAAATATGTGTGTGAATACTATCCAAAGATAGAGATTATGTATTTGGCTGTCTTATATATAATTATAGGGTGTACGTATTTAATAAGTTTAAAGAAAAGAAGGGTAGAGGAGGACTTTGACATTGTAGACGCGTGAGAGTTGTTTTTAGGAGACTGAGTGACTGAAAGAGTTTTAATTTGGACTTTCTCAAACTCTGTATATATATTAATGGATATACACAGATTTCATTGAGCTAGTTTTCTGTCAATTTATTGATGAATTATTCGTATAAATATTTTGTTACGTGAGCCATTATTTTCTAATCACCAATGGTATTTATTGGTATTTACCAAAGTCAACCGGCATGTGACTATATGATGGTTTTGTTCACATTTTCGGATTACAAAAATTATTGGGTTTGTTGTTTAATTGTCAGCGCCTCGTATTGTCCGGAGTACAAAGAATGGACTACACTAAGGCTCCGTTTGGATTACATTAAAGTTCCGTTTGTGTGGTTGTTTTGACGTAAAATACTTTTTGAAGAAAATATTTTTATTTTTTAGGTAAGATATTTTTATTTTTTGTACTTTTCGATATTTGACAAAAGTCTAGGTCGAGGTTGATATCGAGTTCTTTGGGCAGGACGTATTGTTGGCACCAAAACTTGGCAGCCACTTCAGCAGCGACGTGGACCAATGGGAAGCCGATAAGTGTTGAGCATGTCCAAGAATGGTCGGCCAATGGAGAAATAGTAGGAAAAGATTTAGGAGGATATCTATATATATTCAGCCACCTCACCAAAAGGGTTGTTACTAAACAACCGAGACTTTTGTTAATTTCAAAAGGAAATTTCATTAGAAATAGAACATTGGGAGAGGTTGGCTAAGGTGACATAATTAAGTTCCTAAAAAATAGGGATTTAGTTATGAGAAAGGAAATTGAATCCTTATGGAAATGAAATTCAAAAAGAAGGGGCAGCCACGTGAGTGTATGGGTCAAGGCTATAAATGGTCTTCCAGCCATTTAAGGGATATATTTCAGTCAAGCTTGAAGAAAGAAGTTGCTAAAAATCAGCAACTTACTAACAATCTTCCAGCAGCTTTCTACCGACTTCTTAGCAATCAATATTTTCTTCAACAAAGGTATTCTATTTGAAGCAAGACGAAACAAGAGGAGAAGAGACGTGAAAGACTACTGGAATACGACCTATTTTCAGCAACAACGTAAAGCAAATCAAGGAAAAGAGAGATTTCAGTAAAGACTTTCCCATTGAAACTGGAGCATCGATATTGAAGGCGAGGAATGTTGGGCCGTAGATCAATTTGAATTTCAAAAGAAAATGATTGAAGCAAAAGAGATTTTCTAGCAATTAATTAGGAAAATAAGTTGAGATAGAACTTCTATAAATAGAAGTATTGTACTCCATTTCCAATTCGTCCAGCACCACCACAAAACATGCATTTCAACTAAAATGTTTTCAATTGACTCTACGTCATTTTCCTATCAATTTCTTTATTTCAATTTAATGGCAATTGATTAGATCATTGTCAACTATTTCGATTCAGCCATTTACTTTCTTTCAATTTCAATTATGCCAATTTTAATTACGCAATTTTAGTTAGGCTTTCAATTCAATGGCAATTGATTAAATTCTTGCCATTGAATTGTAGTGACAATTGATTAAATTCTTGCTATCACGTTTCAGTGGCGATCGATTAAATTCTTGCCATTGTGTTTGGCTGATGGCGATTGATTAAATTCTTGCTATCACGTTTCAGTGGCGATCGATTAAATTCTTGCCATTGTGTTTAGCTGATGGCGATTGATTAAGTTCTCGCCATCACGTTCGGCCGGCGATCGATTAAGTTCTTGCCGCCTGTCTTCACTCGGCCATTCCATCCATTCAAACATTCATCAGCCGTTGCATTTCTTTAGACACTCTAAAAAGTCCTTGCTACAAACAAGGCATAAAAGAACCTTGCTGGGAGTTTTTACTAGTCTCTCTCCCACACAATCGCCTGAGAGTCAGCCATCGGAAAAAGGGATAGGCTGGTGTTCAATTACATATTTTGGGTATTTTGTACAAATACTCTGGCACGCCCGCGAAGAGTCCATCGACCGGCGTAGGGAACAAAAACCGCGCGAACACGTATAAAATAACTTGTCAAAAATTAATGGATAAATTATTTTTGTAAAATTTCAATATATTTTTCTTTCGTCCAAACATCAGAAAATAAAAAAATATTTTCTAAAAAATATTATACATCTAAACAAACGGAGCCTAAATACTATTTATTACTACTTGTCACATGACTCGAACACGGGTATGGATGTAAATATGCGTTCATACCATCAATTTTTTCAATTCCAGGACACATGGGTAATGGCTAAACATTCACACCTAAACATTCACACTAGTTATTCCATAATTATATTTTATTTTTATGACATAAAATATTGTATTTGATGTAACGTAATGTTTAAAGTAAATATTTTACATGTTTTGAAAAAAACATGAAAGAAATAAATAATTGAACATGAATTTTAATTACACATCCAACCAAATGCATGTTGGACGAGTTCCATAGGACCATATATGTGTTTTAATTATCGTGTTTAACATGGATATACTTCATTCCGTTTAAAAAGTTCTTTTAAAATAATTATTAAATAATACAATAGATTTGCATAGTTTAATTATAGAGTAAATTACATCACCACATACATTGTGAGGTTTTTCTTTACAATAATAGTGGTGAGAAGGGATTTAAATTAACCATCCACCTTTGAAATATGATAATTTATTTAATTAGGTGACAATTTGTGATTATTTAAAACTATAATCTTATGCTATATAATAATCTCTTCCAAAGGTTAACTTAGCCATTAGAACTTTTGGAAAATTTTGATTTGATGATATATATGTTGGGATTTATATGCCCTGGTATAGCAAATTCCTATCTGGATTGTATTGACATATGTTCCTGACATATCTGAAATATTTATGATTTATATAATTGGTGAATTCAATGTATTATGTTTCAATTCACTATGAAATTGATAGTGTCCAGTTAATTACAAGAAATATTTATATATATGTATGTGATGACAATCAATGCATGATATATAAATAGTAATTATAAATTGTTCATAGTCGGTAATTATGGATGGACTCATAATTAATTAAGACTTGAACTGGATCCGCGTTAGGTTGAGATATATTGCGAGAGCCGTCGTATGCAATTACTCCCTATCACCGTCATGACATTTGACTCTTAAGCATGAGAAAAGTATAGACTCTTTTATTAATTAATAATTACTTTGATTTGTTCGGCGGATTCTTCGGGATCCTTAGACCGACACTTTGGGTAGTTATGTAATTAATAGTTAGAGGGTTATATTTTCAATATTTGCATCATTGCTACTTGTATTTATTTTGTATTGATTATGGTTGATCACAAAGTAAATTCGAAGGCCTTCGTGTGTTTTTAGACAAAATGATTTATTATATATTTATTTATTTAAATTATTATTTTTGTCAAACAAATGTTTTATTGTGATCGAGCCAGAAATAATCAAAGGTACCAAAATAAATATATTAATTAAGTAGTCGGATTGATGGCTATATTTATCCGATAACTAATTATGCATAGAGGGGTCAAAGTGCAATATTGACTTAGAGGTTATTTATTATTTAATTGGAGTTCAATTAATTTCTTTTAGTGGAGTAGAAATTAATTTATGAATTAATTGAATTGGGTCCATGGACCGGGCCAATTATTAATTCATTGTAGCCAATAAAATAATAGGCCCAATGGATTCTCACTCATAGCCCAACTTGATATTGGAATCATATTAGATTTGAGACATATGAATTAGAGATGGAGAAGGATTTGTTGTTTCCTTTTCTTTATTTTTATGTTGCCTATAAATATACATGGTCTATGTATATTTTAGGGGGTGATTTTTATGAGAAGGAAAAAGGAATAAATTTTTTCTCTCTAGAAAATTAGGGTTTATGTTCTCATCTAATGGAGGCTCCCACAAGCCTAGTTTTCCAAGGTCATTCAAGGAGGCTTATGAGTGATTCCTAAAGGCAAGACCATTACCAAGAAGATGGAGATCCATGGAAAAGATGTCTAGCAAAAGGGATCTACAATAAGTGAGAACATTCACTTTAGAGGAGAGATCTGAGGTTTACTCAAACCTTGATATAAGTATTCAATCTTTTAGTTGAATAATACATCATATTTTATTTTATTTTTTGCATAAAACTTGTCTCTATGTGATGAATCAAGATCTATGAATTTAAATCCCTCGAAAAATTTTTAAAACTAGCACGTTTCCCAACAATATATGCCCTTCCCATTTTACTGAAATGATTAGCCTTTTAAGATTCCTAACATAACAATGATATCCAAATCTTATGGACGAATATATCCTTTAGGCTAAGAAGCATTTTCCCATTAATATATAACCGTTTCATTTCCTACAACAAAAACCATGCAATTTCATAAATATAAGTGAAATTCAAACACAATAAAAACCTAACTCCAACTCTCTAAATTTGTAAACCCTAATCCAAAAGGGGATAAGCTAGCGAGCTCAAGACATTGGCCGCTACAATTGACTTCCACGACCAATTCAATTTCGTCATAATCGCACATCCTAAGCTTGATCATTTTCTGACACGTTCTTCGCTCTTCGCTACTATGTCATTCAAAAACCCCTCCTCAAATGCTTTAAATTTTCGATATTCGGTCACAAGTCACTGGACATCAAAATTCCATTATCACAAGTTGCCATTACACAGCGATTCGTCATCATCGTACTAGTCAAAGATGCAAAATTAAACAGAAAACACAGAAAAGAGATAAAAAAAACACATATTTTTACTTGGTTCATCTAAAATTAGAGTTACGTCCAAGTTAGGGTTGCAGGGATTTCACTATGATGATAAAAAAAAAAAAAAAAGCACAAGCTACAGAGAGTTAAAATTGAATAAATACTCTCCCACTAAAACAACTTTAACAATTGC